TTCTCAATGTCATATCAGAAATTTATGAAAAACTAAAGGGAGGTTATCTTAATAGATATAAACCAGTCACCAAAGTTTCATGAAAACTCCTCAAAGCACTTTAAAAATATTGTCCGAAAAACTGGAAAATCACTCCTTTTTTATGAATAAAATCCCATAACTCGGAAGCTTACGTCAATAGATATAAACAATTCACCAAAGCTTCTTGCAAATTGGTGAAAGTGTTTTTGAGTTTTTGTCTGAAAACTGGAAAATTCCCCTTTTCTAATGAATAAAACCCTCAACTCGGAAACTTAGAATCTAAAATTTATAATAATCAAAAGGGAGCTCATGTCAATAGATACAAACAATTCACCAAAGTTTCTTGCAAATTTGTGAAAGTGTTTTTGAGTTTTTGTCTGAAAACTGGAAAATCCCCCTTTTTTAATGAATAAAACCCCATAACTTGGAAACGTAAAATCTAAAATTTATAAAAATTGAAAGGGAGCTCATGTCAATGCATATAAACAACTCGCCAAAGTTTTATGCAAATTGGTTAAAGCGTTTTTGAGTTATTGTTAAACATGTTGACGACAGACAGACGGACAACGGTATACCATAATACGTCCAAAAAACAGGCGTATAAAAACCATAATCCCCTTGACGTTAAATAGTTGCTCCCTAATCTCTTTTGACAGTAATATTTCAATACAATAAACTCTGAAAGAATTTTAGATAGTCCAGGCGCAGCCCTATTGGACAACTGTTAGGATATATTTTTGTTGTGATGAACACAATTCAGAACCAGCAAAAAAATGGGTTTTTTTCCTAAAACATGTAAAATGTCTATCCTTAGACAACAGCATGGGTAGAAATATTATCGATATATTTATTTCACTATAAACAGGCTTAAAATAATTTTACCAGTTCATGTACAGCATAAAAATACAAAGTCGATACATCATATAAAAAATTATTAAAAATTTGCATAGATATCTTTAAGTACACTTCAAACAACCTGGATAAAAATCCTAATTCAGAAATTGGAACATGAAGCAAATGAGAACTGTAAATTATTTTCAAAAAGAACTATTATCATAATGATCCCACAAGTGCCCCAAAAAAGGGAGTAGAATATTTCATTGTATTACTTTATGTAGTTGTCATTCTACATTTATATAAGTATTGGTATTTTATACATGTATAAAAGCTTTTCTCCAACTGACCAAAAGTTTTCTGTGAAGATAACACTTCATAGAAGTCAAACACTCTTGGTTGCTAAGTGATAAAATTATTATGAGACATTTGTATGAATTATTGGCAGATTTGTTCAGACTTTTTTTCTGTTTAACTTGGTTTAACACAAGTAGGAAAAATGAAATTTTTAACACAAACTTAATTATTTTGTTAAGTACTACAACCTAATAATGTAATCAAAATAAACAGATAATTCATAAGATGACAATCCAATATACACCAATTTACCAGAAAACCATACCATTCAAACATAAAAATCTATTCCATTGCTGTTCCCTTTTGATACAATAAAAGCAAACTAAACATGCATCATATGCTTAACTATAATTACAATGTCATAATTTGGGAAGTACTAAACTCCTGTCCATTATTGCAGATTAATAAGGTCTTAACAAGACAAAAATAAGAAGATAAGTAGATCTATTATTAATGAAATATATACTGTAAATTCAGATATTATTGCATGCATTTATTATTGCAATTTTTGAAGAATGGACAAAATTGCGAGATAAATAAATTGCAATTTCAGGAAAATCTGCATACAGATAATTGTATCAGATATCAGAATGCAAGTTCTTATTATTGCAATACCCACCAATTCTCATTATTTGTATTAATAAAAACTTCGCAATAATTTTCAAATTTACAGTATGTAGAAACATTTAAAATTTCATTAAGGCGAAGTGTACGTAATTGCACGCCTCTAGCGGAATTCAGGATAAAAAACGTGCGTCGTTAGTTACGCAGGTTATCTCCCCTACTCCAAGAAAGGAAAAATGGGCACATGAAAGAGAAATGACTTCGTGCGGTCTATCATGAATTCAAACAAGTATTCATGTGCTATCTAAAAACTTCAAAGAAATAATTAGAATGACTCCAATCAGAAATCTGAGTATCCTATTGTGAGTTAGTCTGACCACTGTTTTTGTTTTAGACACGCAGGAGCAGGTACACAATACGACTCGTGTTTATTTCAACAGAAGGTAAAAACGCCTAAACAACAAAATTATAACCAAATAAAAAAAAACCAGTGACAATTCTGCTTCTATTCGTATCAAATTCATTAAAATTGACCCCACAATATTTTTGAAAAACCATAGTTTTGAATGAAATGCACAGTGTACTGTAGATCCTGTAGCGTAAAATTGTAGGTAACGAATAATTATATTGCATGTGAATTTGTGTCTTGAACAAGAAAGACGTTGGCATGTCCGTTTTTATGCAATTGAAAATTTTATGATGTTTTATATTTTATTATTTATGTAAAAAGTATAAAAGATACTAAGGCAAGTTACTAAGGGGTAATCGACCATTAGTACAACATTTATAAGCCGAAGAAAAAGCCAACAGCAAAAAAAAAACCCATCAGATTCCGTCCACAAAACATTACACACTCAGAAACTAAGAATTGTTCACTATTACATTTATCTCAGAATATGTAAAATCTATGCCATCCAAATATCAGTTTTCAAGGTGCAGAAAATAAACAGGTGTCTTCTATTCCGTCCGCAATTTTTGGGGAAAGTAAAATCTAAATTTAGAACCATGGTTGAAACTGAAACTACACATGTATGATAAAAATAGAACGTGTTATTTTTTCTTAATCAAATTCCGATTTCGAAGGGATAGCGAAATTTGTTCTCTTTTGTTGTGCTTTTGTGTATCATTCAGCAGTAGTATAAGGTAGGGGAAGAAGGGGTAGGGGTGAAGAATAATAGTTCTACAATGTCGGGGCTTTTTATAACCCGGCGACTATATACGGTATGGATTTTCTCATTGTTGAAGGCCGCATGATTGCCTATAACAATTGCTTACATCCACATCCTTTAAGGTAGCTGGGGTGTCTAAATGTTGGACGATAGATTTTTCTTAAACTTCTGTAAGACTTCTGTGTCAATGTAATTTTTAATTTCAATATGAAAACTGGGGATCAAGGACCTTGTTTTTTCGTAATAACACATTGAAATTAACGAAATTTGGGTTATTTTATATTGTTGATATAGGGGAAACTTAAGTTTTCCTTATTGCGGAAACAGAATTGGCTAAAATTCGATGAGAGAATTGCTTTTCATTAATAACTCCGAAATATCAAATAAAAATAAGGGGTCACGGGCCTTATTTTCTTGAAAAAATCCCCAAAAATTTTAAATATACTTTACGACACTTAATTTCTTGATAGTTCAATCTTTAAACTTCAAGTTTTAGGTATTTTGTTGTATATTAAATGATACTTGGTAAAATATTTTTAAAACAAAAAAGTTTTTGCAATTAACATGATCAGAACGGACGCTCAGAAAAAGACACCCGATCTACCTTAAACGTGGCAGATAGTTGTCTCATTTGCAATCATACCACAGCTCCTTATGTTCATATTATATTAACAAAACTGCAATTCATTTGCATTATATACAGGAACAATTTGTATGGCAATATACTAGGTAAACTCGTATAGCATCGCTCTTGGTACATTCTTATAGCATTACACCAGTACATTAATTTATAGCATATCACTATGCACAAAGCTTTAGCATTACACAATACACAATGCTATAGCATTATACACAATATACGCAATGCTAAGGCTAACACTGGGAATGATCTGTGCTACGTGAAGTTAAAACTCCGATCTGCTTTACTTTGCTAAAATTCATATGCGGGTTCTTCTTTTGACCTTATTACAGTCATAAAAATTCTCAAGATAATATGCAGATGCAGTTTTCTTATTTTTTGGGAGTCGTGCATGTGGATATTAAACAAATTCTGGAACAAAAAAGTATTACCTTTTTTACTTAAAATCTCCAGCAAACATTAAATCATGCTTTGTCGTGTAGTTAAAGAAAAGGGAAAGCGATCGAGACAGGAAATGTTTAAAATAAAATTGCAGAGTTGTGTCACGTGCACGCGTGTGAACCTGACAAAAAATGGGCTTTGTGCGCAATCCCTCGAATAGCGCCGGAAATGGTAAGGATGAAAAGATGCAGCAAATTATATTCACTTTTTTAAAATACAAACATGCAGAAATAAGATTTAAAAAAAGACGTGTATACGCGATACCAATATTATAACCGATTATTTAAATACGTATAGAATCATTCTGTCAACGCTGTGTTTACTGGGACAATTTTAAACTTGATATTTGATTCATAATTATTAGAACATTACAATATAAAAAAAGAACATGTGGCATGATTGCCAATAAGACAACTCTCCACAAAAGTCCAAATGACACAGAAATTAACGCTTGAGCATTTGCAATAATTAGGAAAATGGGTTATACACACTCACGATTTTGTTACGACACTGTACGGTATAATAGCGTTATAGAGTAGAAATTGTGATGACGTTACAGTAGACATCAATAACGTCGCCGATTGTTTTTATTCTTTCCGCTAGAAATCAAACTTCCACAGGATATAGCTTGAAAACTAGCACGGTTGCTAAGGACTTTCTTTGCACCAATGGGTTCGTCGTTCATTTTTGAATCGCATATCGATTTTTAAAAAAATTCTGTGGAGCAACGAATTAGAAAATCTTGATAAAGTAAAAATATCTGCCGATTTTTATGATTTTCCCTATATATCCTTTGTATTTTTGGCTTATCATGCTGTTAATTTCAACAGCTTGTATCTGAAAAACGAATACGGTTACCCCCTTTTTTTATTTTATTGTGTGATGTATTTTTACAAGCAGAATCCACATGTAAAATTTAAAAAAATTCTGTGGAGTAGTTAATTACGTACACTTCGCCTTAACAGAAGCATTCTTTGAAGGCTTAAACTGCAAAATTTCATTTGCATCATTTTTCTTTATAAATTTTAATTTTTAACAAATAGATGTAGATTTGTGACTTCAAAAAAAACAGATGACCAATTTACTAGATTTAAAAATTAAACACTCATACAATGATATGAACATTCTTTGATCAGACATTGTCAGAAAGTAAAATTCTTCACATCACTAATTCACTTTTCAAGAAGGAATTGTTTATATAATAATTCCTGTTTTTTGTTATCAAACTTTGGAACAAAGTTAATCTTAATGATTTCTGTAAAGCCTTCTTTCATGTTTGGTTCTTTGAACTTTGACTTGAATCCATTCATAATCATTACATTGATAGGTTTGTGCGTTTTATCTGTCAGCTCACGGAACCTTTCATTGTGCATTGCCTGTTGCTGTGTAGCTTTAAAAACAAAACATCTACAAGGAACTCCAGCTTTTTTGGCAACTTCTATATACCTTGCCCTTGATTCTTGATCAGGATTGGTGTTATCCACCATTACACTCTTTCCTTCCTTCAGAGACTTTGTTGTTAGAGAAACACATTTCTGCCATGTGCCGAGCGTATCTCGATTGACATGAACATATCCTTTTGGTTCTAGGTACTTTTTACCAAAGAAAGATTTACCAGATCCTGGATAGCCAGCAAATAAAACAACTTCTGGTTCATCTGATACAATCTTAGCATCTGGAGGATCACATAATGGATCAGTAGATTTCAACTTTCTGGGATCATATTCTGGTAGATTATATGGTGCAGGCTTCTGATTAAGGAAAAACTCTTCTGGTGTGTAAAACTTGATTCCAATATTCAAAGCAAACAATCGATCACTACAAGAGAAATCTTTCTTCCTCTTTGGTTGCCATTTTTCTGGTCTTCCAGCACCATCTCCCACATAAAAACTAGATTCTTTATCAACCAGTATTTTATCATTTCCCTTCTCTTGTAGATAGTAAAACATTCCCTGAGCAGGTTTCCTGTACATGCCACCATCAGTGGCAATCAGAATCTGAACTGGTACTCCAAGTTTATCAACCAATCTTGTAAATTTTGTCTTTAAATCTTCCAACTTTACTTTTCCTCGTGCTACACCAAGCTGGTTAGTGAAGAATACAATTTTATAACCATCGGATTGTAACTCTTTCAGTTTCTTGGGAATTTCTGGGTAATGAATTCTCCAATCACCAGGATGCTTTGGAAATACATTACCTGACTGTGTTACTATCAAAGTACCATCAATGTCAAATCCTGCTATCTTTGACCTTGAACAAACGCCTTTTCTTGTATGAATGACTAACTTATCATATTGATCCCATTTACTCTCAGAAGCAGCTTCACCTTCCTTTTTTGCACTAAATTTGAAATCTGTTGTATTTTCTTTTGGCTTTTCTTTTTGTACTCTTTCGGTATTAACTTCCTTAGCAGCATCTTTCATCTTTTCATTTTTTAATTTTTTCAGATGATTTAACTTTTCCTCAACATCTTTAATATGTTCTTCTTCAGAATTACTTTCTTTCTTTTCTACTTTTTGTCGCTTTGATGGTGGTGAAATTAACTTTTCTTCCTGGTCAGCTGGCCTTTTCTTATCAGTTTTTGATGAACTCATTTCCTCATTCTTGTTGTTTTTAAGTGATGCTTTCTTCTTTATGTCAACCTTCTGTGGATACAATCCAGTTAGAACATATAGAGTGGATGTTAACTGTAGTCTAACCTCTCTATCTTTCTCCAATTCAATACCATCAATTGACGAGGAATTACTTCCCAACTGTTTCACAGTTATATCTTCTGTTTTCCAGTTGGCAGTGATTTCTAACTGGTGTCGTGAACATGACAGATCAATAATTCTGGTTTCTTTACTTCTACCAATCACTACTGGTTCCCCATCAGGAAGTTGAATTGGATCGTGAGTATTATTGGGACAAATCAAATTACACAAGATAAACATTTTACGCACGTTTTGGAGAGGTTTTAACGATATTCTGTCTACAAAATGTTGAGTGCTCTGTTTAAACAGGAAACAATTATTCCTAAACAGTCTTATAATCATCTATTCAATCATTAGATTGACTAATCAAGTTCTATTTCAATTAAATCACATAATGAAAAGAGCACAGTAATTTAAATGACAATGTTATGATGCAACTGGATGACTGGTTTACTTCACATCTTTACCAGACAGCTGCCAGAAAAGAAATGCATAAACTGCTACCATCACTGCTAGAAATGCAATAAGTACTAGTATAATCTCCTGCAAAATATAAATAACACTGTGATTAAAAAGGTATTTTACTTACATAAACTAAGTCATACAATGCATAAAAGCTTATATAAGAGGCAATAAAGTGCCTTTATCACTCTTCTTGCTAAGGAATATCCCTGGATAAACATATCTTGGAAAAAACATTCTACCCATAGTCTCTATGAAACAATGTTTTTATGTAAGTGCATCCTACATATTTATATCTAGATTTTGGTATTTCTACAACTTTTATAGAACATGTTCTTCTTTTTGTATGTCCCGATCAGCTCTTCATTTACTTTTGGGAACCTTGTAGTTTTCATGCGACACATGTCCCTAACAGGAATTTTAAGTTGTAATCAGTTTTCAGTTGGGTTTAGTTCAGGCTTGGGTTAGGTTATGGTTTGTTTTATTTTAGGGTAAGGATTAAGTGTTTGACTAGTTTCAGGGATTAGGTATGAGTAAGATTTAGTTTTAGGGTTGAGTAAAGCCAAGAACTTTATTGTAGCATTGTTGTAAAACCCAATATGGATCAGGTCTGGAAAAAAATGGTAAATACATGCAGTTGCCATTTTTAAAAGGGCAATAACTCATTTAAGGAGTTGACTGAAGACTTTGGTCATGTTCACTCATTTGTAGATCTAGATCAGTTTTACTCTTTAAACTTTCTCTCTATCTATATTAGTTTTCAAGATAATCTCTCTATCATATGCATGTCTATCTTTCAAAAGATGCAAAAAGTTGTTAATTAGGTTTAGATATTAGCAATTATTTGCACTTTACCTCTGTATTCTAACTTCAGCATCAATGTCATGCTGGTTGGTAGGCAGAATCACTGGACACATTTTTTACTACACATCCCTAGGATGATTGTGGGCAAGTTTCATTAGTTTGGTTCCAACCAGCTTAGTTGTTGCAGAGAAAAGATTTAAGGACAGTCAGGGACATTACTAATACAAGTTATTTTTTTTCAATTAAAACGAAATTTTATTCAATAGAGATATTTTGAATTTCAATAGAATCATGGACTACATGAAGCTTTTATGAATTTTTTCGTTATTTTATAATTGAAAATTATGAATTAATAATTAATTGAAATGGATAACAGGTTACTTTCAGAAATATTGACAAAAATATTACTTCTTTTGGTAAACTATTCTAAACATTTTAAATGTTGAAATATTTAATCACTACAATTATATACAGTTGAACCTCGTTGTTTGTCAAACTCAGTTGGGTTGAAACTCGGATGAGTTGAAGTAATTGCTCGGTCCCTGCAAAATTCCCGTTAAATCAATGCATTTTAACCAACGGATGAGTCAAACTTGGATGATTTGAACTCTCGGATAAGTCAAATTAATTTTATAGTCCCTTCGATGGAGAATTTATGTAAATTGCCCCCGATGTCTCGAAGTTTGAAAGTAAGAAATTTCGAAAAATGCAGGCTTAAAGATAAAAATTCAAACCAGATGTTTTACCTAATCATTTTCATAACTGATTAAAGCTGTATTATAAACAAACTTCTTTGTATAATAGTTAAAATGACATGTTTATGGTGACCGGAAATTAACATCTTTGTTGATCGTCCAAGTGGAACTTTAGTGCAATGAACATATTTCACCTGATATAAAAAGAAAACGAATTCAAATGACCAAAGTCCAGATGAAATGAATAGTTTGAATTAAAATTCAATATATATAGTTACAATGATATAATTACATTACATGTATGGTTCATTATAATAAGTTATTTTGATTGGCTAACCATGCCAACAGCAATGTCACGTCATTCTGAAATTAACCTTCATTTCAAAATGAAATGTAACATTCATGATAACACGAGCCAGGGATGGGCACGATTACTGATAAATGTAATCGATTAATAATCGATTACTTGGGGAATTTTTGTGTATTCGATTAATAATTGATTACTCTGATTTTTGTATGTAATCAATTGCAATCGATTACATAATCAAAAGTAATTACATTACTTTTCGATTACTGTCAATTACATGCTACAAAATTACAAAAGAATAATAAAGAAAGTTAAACACAAATATGTTGTTCAACGTATGTATAGGGGAAATTTTGAACTTTATAAAAACAGCATTTAAAGCATTGTTTTCAAATTTTAAGTTGACAGTTGTTTTCTAGATGGAAGCTCTTACTGAGGATCCGAAATATTCAAAAACTCTTGAAATTTTGGTTTTCAACAGGAGTGAGTGGTGATAAAGTTCTTGCAATGACATCACATGGATTCAGTCACTTCTTTATATTTTAGGTTATTTTCTCCATATTTTGCAATTTTTTACTGTCATACTGACTTAAGTTAGGTATTTTGTATTTACTCATTTTTAACTATATTTGAATATAGCTCATTACAATGTTGGAAGTTTCCTCTGAAAAAATATAAAAAAAGTAGAATAATTAACTAGTTCAGCTTATTTCAAAGATGTAAATTTATAATTAATACATGCATGCATTAATCCTGTTGTTTGGATAACCTCCCTAATTACAGGTTATAAAACTGCCAATGGAGAACATTTTATAACCTGGGGCAATATAATGTAAATCTGTTCTTAATAAGACATAATTGAAATCAAAACAAAGTTGGCATCTCATTGATTAGAAGTCCTTGATCATCTGATTAGTAAAGACAAGAAGTTTGTTGAGAATTTTTTATGCTCTATTCAAAATTATAAACAATATGTATTTTTAGTGTCAAAATGGGATACATGTATCTATTTCTGAACAAGAATTTCAATGCATAGCCATTGGTACATTGTCAAAAGGATTTTGTATACTTTCTAATTTTTTATATCATAATATTATGACGAATCAACTGTTTATCTATTCTAGCTAAAATTCCAACTCTTATTGATAATTACGCTTTAATGTCAATGTAGTACAGAACTTAACATAAGACTCATTTATTATTTTAATCTATTTTCTTTTTTCAAAATAAAAGGTCTTTAAATTATTGAAAAGCATTAAAGACAGTAAAGTCAATTGTTTCAAAAGCTGGATATACAGTAAAATTTGGTGGGAGATCTGGTTGATCATAATCCAGCTTGAGACAATAGATACAAAAAAGGCATTTGATAGACTCTGAAGTCTTATTAATACATTCTATTTTATATGTACTATAAAGTGAATTCATACATATTTTCATTTGAAATAGGTTATATTTCATCAAACTATTTTACTAAAGTAATCGAAATGTAATCGAAAAGTAATCGATGATTACATCATTATTTTTGCTGTAATCGATTAAATTACGATTACATGTAATCGAAAATGTCTTCGATTACAGATTACTGTCGATTACTGGAAAAAATGTAATCAATTACAATCGATTACGATTACAGATTACGATTACCCCATCCCTGACACGAGCTTACACAATCAAGTGCACAGGTTAAAAAAGAAAAAGAGAAATCGTGTTTTCATGATCCTAGCAAAAAAATGTAATTATAAGCATTGAATGCTTCTTTTAGTAACTTTATAGGGTTGTAAAAGCGTTGACCGTGCGCACATTTTTATTTTAGAAGAAAAATAACATACAAAATGTACTTCGGTCAATGCTTTTACACCCCAATAAATTTACGAAAAGAAGCATAAAATTCTTAAAGGATTAAGACATTGACAATTATGAAAAATTTACAATAATTGAATGTAAAGCAGACGACCTTCATCATGCACATCAGTGATCTCTCAGGACTTGTTTAACATAATTTATAGTGACTGACCTTGTAAATATTGGTGTATTGATTTTATTTGTGACTGTTATGAATCTGTTCTGGTGCATGTTGTGTGTTTAATTACTATGATGGACCAAAAAATATATAGATTGAATACACAATCATAAATTGCCATATAAAAAAAGCTCAATGTTCAAAATATTTAATTTACACAAATATCATACCGTATTTCATGCATTCCAAATTTATTAAGACACACTCAACCTCAGATGAGTCGAATACTTTCCTCCGGTCACTTCTACTCCAGACTTAATGATGTTAGACAGTATGTGAAACACATACAATTGCTTTAGATTACAGATTATAAATAATTTCAACACTCAATAAAATCAAATTTCATCTATTTGTATCTGTCAACCATCAAGATTTCTACAGGAAAATGATATTTTAATAGTCCCAAAATACCAATCTTTGAATCAAGAAGCATCAATATTAAATCTAAGTGTGTCTGGGAGGCAAAAAGTGTTTCAGGAGGACAAGCTACACTTCATGGGGAAAAATAACCAGATGTCTGAGATACTTTCCAGTCAGAGCTCTGACATAAACAAGTCAGAATAAAATGACTTCCATAGGTCAGATATAATTTGATGTAAGTGTTGTCTCCCTTCTTGCACTCAACAGAATATGACTTGTACAGGTCAGTTTATGTCAGACTTTAATTTATCATAAAATGACTTCCACAGGTCAGCTTTTGCACAAAATATTGTGACTTAATATCTTCATATTCTAATAAGATTTATGCCCCTTTTTAATGCATTTTGACTTCGAGAGGTCAATTTTGTTCTGATTTGAAGCAGTCATTTCTACCACTTTGTTATCAATCTCCATAAAAATATGGTGATTACTAGTTTCGAATTAAAGAGTTTTAAAAAGTGGGGCTCATCTGACATCATACCTTCTCCTTTCCAGAATCTAAACATAATATATTTATCTCATCACTTTCAATTATTTCAAAATACAAAGAAAAACCAGGTGAGAAAAAATGGATCATACAATTTTCTGAATATCAAAAGATTTACAAAATACAATATTGGATACATTTACTAGTACCATGACAATACTTCAAATCTTTCAAGGAAAAACAAGACACTTATTCATGATAAGACTATGTTAATAAAAGATATATTCTCATCCACTTTAAGCTAAATGTATTAAGTTTAGTATGGCGTTCATTATCACTGAACTAGTATATATATTTGTTTAGGGGCCAGCTGAAGGACGCCTCCGGTTGCGGGAATTTCTCGCTGCA